CTTCCTTATTCTACCCTGAGTCACATGGCCTCACACCTCAGCTTCACTGCCTCCGGAGTACACTCTGCCCTCTTTGACCTGGGTGTAAGCCGTAAGGTGTCACGGGGTGCTCCCTTTGACAGGGCTTCTTCTGACCTTTCTGTAGACACTGTGTAAGTGAGATCCTGCCTGAGAATCCCTGGCACAATCCTTAGCTTGTGAATGCAAGGGTCAGATCCCCAGGGCTGTTTCCTTAACAACTCAAGTTCAAGTTACCTTCAAGCCTGCTCCTCTTTTTTTCAGTCCCAGGACTCCTGAGCCCTCCACTCAGAAGTCTGGCAGAAGTCTGGTCTTTTTGGTTGTTAGCTTAGCCTTTTGTCTTAACATGCAAACCTAACATCGTAAGTAGTAAATCCAACATGCGTCCTTATCAACACGCTGCTTTTATCAGAGAGGCCTATAGACGAGTCTGTGGGCCTATAGGCAAGTCATTGTCTTATGATTGTTATGGAGGGCCTGGCTCACCGTGTGAGCTCCTGGTTTATGTAAGAAAGCAGGCAGCACAAGCAAGAGAAGCAAGCCAGTAAGTAGCATCTCCATGTGGCTTCTGCTTTAGTTCTTGCCTCCAGGTTCCTGCCTTGGCTTCTTCCTTCAGTGGACAGTGACCCCAGATGTGTAAGCCAAGTAAGCCGCTTCCTCACCATATTGCTTTTGGTCAGTGTTTTATCACAGCAGCAGAAAGCAAACTAAGATGTGTTTTCTAGCAGTGCCACAGTCTAAACTTTCATGCTCAAGTACCGTCCAGCCTTCACTGGTTCGATTTTGAATCCTCCTGCTTCAGCCTTCGCTGGGATTCTAGTTCTGCATCACTACCCACTTGGGTGCTGGGAATTGAGCAAAGGTCCTCTGCAAAAGCAGTATATGCTCTTAACCGCTGAGCCATCTCTCCAGCCCCATTCTAGTGTGTGTGTGTGTACACGCGCCACAGCCTGTGTGTATGTGTGTGTGCATGTGTATGGAGGTCAGAGGACAACTTGTGAGAGTTGGTTCTTCCCTTCTATCATATAGGTTCTGAGCCTTGAACTCAGATCCTCAGGCTTGGCGGTCAGTGTCTTTAATCACTATGTCATCTGGCTGTCCCCATCTTGGTATTTTAATAGGCCTCTTAACTATAGCCAGCTCACTCACAAGATGCACCCTGTCCTTTGAGAGGATACTGGCCTTAAAGATACATCTGGGCTCTGAGGGAGAAGTGAGAATTGTCTGCATTCAACTGAAGGTTGACAGGATATTCCCGGATCAGATGCTGCTTGGGTCACTGGGCGGGTTACTCCTCAGGAAGGTTTTACAGCGAAGTCTTTTTTTTTCCCTATTCAGTTTTCAATTTTGCTTATGTGTGTGTGGTGTGTATGTTGCGTGTGTGTGGGCATACGTTTCTGCAGATGCGTGTGTGTGACATAGGGTATCTTCTTGATATCTCTTCACCTTCTTCATTGAGGTCGGGTCTCTTACCTGAACCAGAGCTTGCCAGTTTGACTAGTCTAGCTTACACTAGAGATCCTGGCATTTACGTGGTTGGTAGGAATCCAAATTCTGGTCCTCAGGCCTATATAGGAAATCCTGCTGGACCCTCTTCCCAATCAGGGATTCCAGTTTCCTTCTTCTGTAACACCTTTCACGCATTGCATGTATCAGACACATTCCTGTGTTTTTAGATGTGTAGGCTTCTGTCTAACTCCTTCTCGAATCTGGATTCTACTCAGTGAGTGGTTCTTTGGTGTGAACACATACCTAGAAGGTAGATGAAGCACACACTAATCTTTGTCTCTAGTTGTGGGTCTGAGTTCCACCGCGCCGCTGGGCACTGCTGTTGGAGAGGCGAAATGCAAGGAGCAGGACTGTGCTTATCCCAGTACCACCCTGCCGCAGCTACAGCAGAGTGCTGGGTTTCTAGGAAGCACAGAGACACTGCTGGGGTGGGGGTGGGGGGGCTGAAGCTGGTATTCCCTCACTCTTGGGCATCTAGTCGCTGTTAGAAAACTGCACAGAGAAGTTGAGAATGAAGTTGGGGTTTCAAACAAGACTTAGGGCAGGGGCTGGGAGCTCCGGCTTAGCTCATTGGTAGCTGTGGTTGTCTGGAAGCACAGAGAGACCTATGGGAGACTTAAAATGCGTCTCTGTAGGTGAAGGTCTTCCCGATGCTCCCCATGGCGGTGGTAGATGAAAGAGACAGTCCTTAGTTCTAAACTGTTTATTGGTTGTTCATCGTGGAAAATGGATGCTACCAACTCCTCAGGGTGGACCAGAGACTATCTTTTCAGGGAGGAATGTCTGGGAAAGGGTACTTATTGGCTAAGCCCTCAGGGCCTCTAGGTACCTCATTAGCATGGAGAACTCTGTTCTAGGTTGAAGTGACCACAGGTCACGGTTCCTTATGTGGGAAGTGTTTCTCATGTTCGAGGCCAGGAATCTGGCAGGGAGCAGGGAGCCGCTTACTGTCTTAGGTGAATACTCGAATTTCTGGGGACTCAGACCACGCTCTCCCTTACCAAGTTTCCTGGCAAGACCCACTGTCCCACATTTAGTGACTAGGATGAGGATGGATACACAATCAGTGCTCTGAGACTAGTTACTGATTCCATTTTGTAACTGTTGGTAACTCTATTGGGAGAATGTTTCAAACTGTTAGCGCTGGGAACCTCATTCAACATAGTTTAAAAATACAAACCTGTAAGTTTGCTAAGGAGAAAGCCCTGGATTAGAGTGATGTATTAGCTTCTTTTCTTGCTGCTGTGGACCAAATGCCTGCTGAGAAGCAGCTTAAGGGAGTAAGGGCTTATTTTGGCTTCTGGTTTGGGCGATACAGCTCATCGTGACGGGAAGGCTGAGCATTGCGTCTGTAGTCAGGAAGCAGATAGGTAAATGATGGTGTTAGGTTCACTTTCTTCCTCATTCTAAGCGCCTGTGGGATGGCGCTGCCCACATGTAGGGTGGGTTGTCCTGCTTTAGTTAATCTTATCTTCGAATTCTCTCAGACACGCCCAGAGGTCTTCAGCCAGGTGATTCTAGGTCCCATCAAGCTGATCAACCCTCGGGATTAACCACATCACAGATGGGTTTCGGGATTAGCCCAGTTGGTAAGCGCAGCTGTCTTCAGGGTCAGCTGCCTTTGGGCTGCCCCCCATCCCCACCCCATCACAAGATGGCAGCCAGAAGCAGTGGGCATGTCTCTGTTCACAGTCTCTGGGAAAAAAGCTGGAGGCTGGTTTTTTTGGATTCGGTTTGTGATTATGTGTCTACATTGAGAAAAAGAGATGAAGAGACCCAATAACAGCCCCCACTCCCACCAGTCTGTCTTCTGGGTCCCAACATGAAGTTTAAGTTTAAGTAGAGGTCCAGACATATGCTTTCCAGTCCTGGTCAAGGAGTGGTCTCACCCAGCACTGACCCAGTCTCTCCTGCAAGGTGGTCTGACAAGCTGTCCGTGAAGATTCTCTTTCCAGAATAGTTCTCCTTCTGGCTACACCAGGCCTCAGCCTTTCCTTTCCAGAATGAGATGCCTGGGGAAATCTCAATTCCCCATGGTGTCTTGTTTTACAGTCTGATAGCCAAAGGGAGGGACTCAGTGTCTTTTGGGAATCTCTTTTCCCTGCCAGGCCTTCTACACTACAGCACTTCCCCCTGTCTAGGCAGTGGAGTTTGCCAGGCTAATGGATAAAACTATTAACACAGCATTTGAATTTTGTCCTTTGAGTTGAGAAGAAACCGATTATCTTCTTTAATTTTTATATCTAATTTAAATTTTACTTTATAGATAGATAGATAGATAGATTATTGATTGTGTATGTGCACACACATGCCCTGACATGCATGCCAAGGTCAGAGGACAACTTGAGAGAGTCAGGTTTTCTCTTGCCACCCTCCGTGTCTCAGAGATTATACTCTTGACTTCAGGCTTTGCCGCAGGCCCCTTTATCTACTGAGCTCTCTTCTTGACCCAAATTGAGTATCTTATGAGTTTAATCATGTTTGTTTTATGGCTGTGTGTGTGTGTGTGTGTGTGTTTGTGTGTGTGTGTGTTTGTGTGTATGTGTGTGAGACATCACTGCTGCCATCTGTGCAATGGTTTTCCTCATTTGTCATTAGTCTTTTGACACCCCCCACCCCATACATCCATATTTTTAGAGTTGTACCTATTATTACTGTGGAGGGACATGCTTGTGCTATGGTGCTCATGTGAGGTCAGAGGGTAACTTGTGGGAGCCAGTTTTCCTCCGGCATGTGGATCCTAGGAATTAAACTCACGTCGTCCGGCGTACTGGCAGTGCCTTTACCTGTTAAGCAATCTCACTGGCCCAAGGTGGTCTTCAGTTTTTATTTTCATTCTGTGTGTATGGGTGTTTTGTCTGTGTGTATTGTAAGTGTATCATGTGCATGCAGTGGCTGCGGAGGAGAGAAGAGGGGGTCCGATCCCTGGAAACTGGTGTTCTAGACAGTTGTAAACTGACATATTGGCACTGGGCACAGCACTGGGGCTCTCTGGGAGAGCAGGGCGTGCTGAACCATCTCTCTAGTCTATTTTTATGGAATTAAATCTCTCAGTGTTTTTCTTGAAGACCCAAGGTTTTCTTCCTTGAACTAGCTACTCATCTGATACCACATGTTAGTCTGTGGAACACATTGGAGTTAGGCTGACTCCAGGCAGCTGGACTCCAGGTCTCAAGGACACTTGAGTGTGTCGTGAGAAGCCTCAAGTCCTTAGCAGAGCTGAGTGTCAGTAGTTTTGGAGCTGCCCTGAGTCTATTGGAACTCAGGAGGTGGGAGGAAGGGTGGGTGGTATAGACCTTTGGAGGAGGCTTTGATAAATGTTAAGTAGTGTGAGGTCACGTGTCTTTGGGTTGTTCCTTGGCTCACACGGCGGGCGGGGAGCGGGGAGCTGGAGCGGAGGGGGTGAAACAAGCCAGGTGAACCATTCTTTTCCTCACTCTTGATCCCAAACCTTTCTGCTCTCTCTCCTGCAGCTGAAGAGATGGCGTTCGTGAAGAGTGGATGGTTACAGCGACAGAGTGAGTAGAAACACCCGAGAACCCTAAAACAGATGATGATGTTTGCAAACAGTCACGTCTGCTTAATGCCCTTGCCATGCATCTCCTCTGGGACTCGCTAGAGCTCTGTGACAGTCCTCCTGGAAACATGGAGCTGATAGGAACCAGGAAGGAAGGCGGGCTCTGCTCCGCTCCCCTTCTCCCGTACTTTATTACTAATGGCTGACTTGAGGTCGTTGGGTCTGAGTAAGCTTGCCTTCCCTGTCTCTGGCCTCTGTGTGTGGGAAATGACCTGTCCTATCTGGGACCTGAGAAGGATCAATGGGGAGACTTGCCTTGGTGGGTGCACGAGTTTAGCAAATCTTTGTCTCCAGAAGAAATTTGGTTCTTTGGCTTGAGGTCCAGTCTCCTAGACATGGCTACTGTGAACCAGCTGTTTGTCTCCTAGGCTGCCACTCAAATAATAATAGGCTGGCAAACAGGGAGAGCCAGCTACTTCTTCTCCACTTGGAGCTGTGCTGTGCTCTGGAGGTCTATGGGTAGTCTTAGCCTAGAGTGAGTAATACTGGCCTTACCTGCTATCTCAGAGAGTAGCCGCAGACCCTGAGGACTCCCCTCTCTTGAGTTTTGTCCTCCCAACCTCCTGAGGATAGGGGTGAAGGGGCACCTTGCTCAGACTCAAGGACAAGCCCTTTGTCAGGCTTCTGGTTTCTCCTTAGGCAGTGTCATGGTCTTGAAAGGTGAGATTTTTTTTTGAAGGTATATTGTCATTATGTGTTTTTCTCATCTGTGATGGAATGTTGCAAGGCTCAGTCTTGTGTGGGCCTTGTGTAGGTATCCACAGCTAGGGAGCTCACAGGTACAGTGGCCATATTGTATCCAAATGGCAGACCTCATTTCTACCCTTTGGCTTTTACATGTGTTCCTCTCCATCTTCCTCAGTGTCCCCTTGGAGGGGTACAGTCTTCATTGGCAGCCTTCTGGTGCCCACACTGTTAAAGTGGGAGTGACCAGGCCCTGTCTGTTTCCACTGCCAGCTCGGTGGATTGCTTCTGGTTGATTGGTTTCTTCTGTGCCTGCTGCACACTGGGGACAGCATTTGTCATTCTAACCCAAAGCCAACTCTCTCTATTTGCCCCCCAGGCACCATTCTGAAACGCTGGAAGAAGAATTGGTTCGACTTGTGGTCAGATGGTCACCTGATCTACTACGATGACCAGACTAGGCAGAGCATAGAGGATAAGGTCCACATGCCTGTGGACTGCATCAATATCCGCACAGGGCATGAGTGTCGGGGTAAGCTGTGCCCAGGACCACCACCCTACCTTTTTTAGTGTGTCTGCTTCCAATGTCAAATTGGACTCTGTCCAGGCAGGGCAGCCATAGTGGGGCTTGAGCATTCACATCCTGAACGTCATGATAGATAGATATTTTTCCCCCATTGGAGTTTGGTCCAGCCTGCATCACTTCATCTGGGGAGAAGGAAGCAGATTGCTAACAACTCCAAGAAAGGTGGGAGCCCTCTTAGGTCATGCTGATTTTCTGATTTAGACACTGCCTGTGTGGTAGTCTTATCAGGTTCTTGGAAGCAGGATGTAGTTTGGTGGATGCAGGGGTCAGCCATCTTTCCCTATGTTCATTTTATGGGGAGCAAATGCCATCTTCCTTTGCAGCTGGCCAGTAGATTCCCTTCCGTTTCTGAGTTAGGCCCCAAGCTGTTTCCCAAGCAGTGACGTGCAGTCTGTCTTCACTTCTCTGGGTTGTTAGGTGTAAGAATGCCTAGGGAGGAAAAACAAAACAAAAACAGGCAAAACCCAAGCTATGGATTACTCCTCCGTTCTGCTTGTTTCTCCTAGACATCCAGCCTCCAGATGGGAAGCCCAGAGACTGTCTGCTGCAGATCGTTTGCCGAGACGGGAAGACCATCAGTCTCTGCGCAGAGAGCACAGACGATTGCCTGTGAGTGCTCATCGTAGTATGTGTTTAATTGGCAGATTGTTTTCTGCTCTAATTTCCCTTTGTTAGGAAGGGAAGAGAGTGGGAGGAGAGTCTCCCTCCAGGCTGGGGCTCCGGGAGAAACACAACGGGGACTTTTCTTGGATCTAATTATGTGTGTGTCTGTGAGTGTGTGCACATTGTGTATACATGTCTGTGTGCATGTGTGAAGACACACATGTGCTGTGCAAGGGTGGAGGTCAGAAGACAATTTTTGTATTGGTCCTCGCCTTGCACCTTGTTTCTGAGACAGGGTTTTATTGGTTTTCCATTAAATTTTCCCTGATGTCCTGGAGATTCTCCTGTCTCTACTACTCATTTCTCCATAGGAGTGCTGCGTCACATGCCATAGTGCTCCACAGCTGAACTCTTTTAAATGTGAGTTCTGGGGATTCAGACTCAGGTCCTTATGTTTTCATGGCTGATGCTTTTACCCACAGAGCCATCTCCTGAGTGCCCTTGATTCTGATTTCTGTCCCTTCTCCTCAAGCAGCGTGGTGGTTTGAATAAGAACAGCCCCCCATAAGCTCATATGTTTGAATGCTTAGTCCTCAGGGACTGGCATGATTTGAAAAGGATGAGGAGGTGTGGCCTTGTTGGAAGAATGTGTCACTGGGGGTGAGCTTTGAGGTCTCAAAAACACATGCCAAGCCCAGAGTCTCTCTGCCTGTGGACCAAGATGGTGGTCTCAACTACTCCCTGTCTGCGTGCTGCCATGCTCCCTGCCTTGATAATAGACTAGACCTCTAGGGCTGGGGGGGGG